TGGCCGTAGCGAGGGCGCGGATGAGGGGGAGGTGGGCACCCAGAAGGGGGGGCCGTACTCGAAGGTGCGCGCGTGGTGCAGGACTAGGTTCTTCAGGGTACGAGACCGGGTTTTTCGTGGTGCGGCGTCTAGGTGAGATAGGATCTTGGGAACCAGCCGTCTTGGTAGAGCGGTATTGGGGGGGCGCCGAGCTGGCTACCCTCCCCCCCTGTGGTTTCCGGAGGCTTGATCGCCCTGCGTTGCCGCAGGGTCTTCCCGTTTGAGTACTTTTCAATTTAGACCCAGTGCTGTGGAAGGGCGCGGACTTGTGCGGTGTTACCCCCTCGACGGGGGCTATCTCCCCTGGACTAGCCCAGGGAGGGAGAGGCGGAGGAGGGTAGTAGTCTCAGGAGGCTGTTTGGCGTCTTGTGGTGTGAGCTCTTTGCGCTCTTTTTTGCGTGAGGATTTTTGAGCTTGGTGACCTCCCCAGCCCGGGAAGACTCGTCGGGCTCCCGGTCGCCCAAGTCCTGGTAGCGAGCTCTCTGAGATGCTCGGTTCGTTCGGTCGGCAGGAAGAGCCCCCCAGTTGCGACTTCGTTTATGTTAGGAGACCAACGGGCATAGATCCCGTCTAGTTGGAGCGCCAAACAAGCGCTGTTGCGTGCCGGCCGTCGTTTCCCGTGCGGCCTGACCCGGGGGCGGAGTGCATGAGACTAACCAGCCGTATGCACCCGCCCCCCGCGCTGTGCTTCGGCCCTGGGCCCCCGGCTTTTCAGCCCACAGTGTAATCAACGTCATACATACATACATACATACATACATACATACATACATACAATGCCACAAACCTCTGTTGCTGCAGCTTCACCTTTTCCTCTCGCAACTTGTTTTTTTATAACCGCCCCACACGGCCCCGCATCCTTGTTGTAACCATTTTCTTCTCGCGGCTAAGTTCTTCAATACGTCATTGTGCGCGCACACATGCACACACGCAAACACGCACATAGCCCTGGCGTCATTCTCCCTATCAGTAAGAACACCTCCAAAGAAATCTCATTATTTTCGACCACTTCAATGTTGGGCTCTGCCTTACTTCGGTAAAGTTGCGCATCATCTGATGTTGACCCCATATCCCAAACCCATATCATCGTGACTCTCGTGGCTATCGTGACTCGTTTGGCTCGGTCCATTCAACCACACCCGCACCTGTTGCTCCGGCGCACTTCTTCCGTGTCCCAGCAGCCCCAGAGCCAGCTGCGAAGTCCTCACGCTAGCACTGGGCTGGAAACACACACGTCGCCTCTCCTCGCCAGCCCCACAAGAGGTCCCCGCCAACGTGGAAGTCGCCAGCGTCGTTGAGTAAGGCCCCCGACGGGACCCAGCCGCCGCCGCCGCCGCCATCGCCAACTTGGATGCCGTCGCCGCCGCCGTCGCCGCCGTCGTGGCGGAGGCGTTAGCCGGCCGTCTCAGCTGCGCCGCTCGCTGCTCGTCCCCGCAGTACATCGCCGTCAGGGCGAGCATTAGCCCCGGGCCGCCCACCGTGGTCACGTGCTGACGTACGACTCGAGGCTGATGCCGTGCAAGGGTGTCGTTATAAGAAAATGTGTCGAGCGTGAACGAAACGGGGAATTGGGGGGGACCGAGATAAACGTCCAAAGGGAGAGATATTGGTATTCCCGAATGGCACTAGCCAATACGGCCCCCCCATACCAGTGCCAAAGTCTAATTATTTATTATTATTATATATATACAAATATATATGCCCTCTGCCCCTCCCCACCCTTTCCCCACGTTCCCCGTGTATACATACCTCCGTAGTGCCGCTACGCGTTGATCGCACACCGCAGGCAGCTTTCGCCTCACAGTCCGCTCTGTCCGCCGCGCACCTCCACAACCGCAACATGACGGGCAGCGCCTGCTGCGGCTCCCAGTCAGGGCCGCCCAGCTGCTTCCGCCGGCCCTCCATCCCGCCGCCGCCGCCGCCCCCGCCGCTCCGCTGACAGCGGCCGGAAGCAGCACTCGGGTCAGGGGCCTGCGGCCACGAGGCGATCCGCAACGACTGCTCCTTCCACGGATTCAAATTCAACTGCTGCAATAATAAGGCCTCCGCCGCTTCCACCTCCTCAATCTCCTTCCCTCGCAAACTCCTCGCCAGCCCGCCTGGGCCCATACGCGCATCCTCCTCCTCCGCCGCCGCTGCCGCCTTGCAACCCATGCCGTGTTCCGCGCCGCCAGCGGCGGTGAAGGGCGCGGCGCCGCTACCTTCCCGACCGAGCGGTACAGATGTTGGACATTTTGTTACTGTGGGCGCCGGCGCGGATGTGGGCGCTGGTGTGCCTCGACAGGCGTCTACGACACTCCTCAACAACCCCTCCTCGAACTCCTCCGCCAGGTTTTGAACCAAAGACGACAGCATCATCTTGTGAAAAGAGGGATCCTTGAGAAAGTGATCGTCCAGGTCGGCTGCCACCGCCTGACACTCAGGTCCGCCCAGCCAGCCGAGACCGCTAATGCCGCTACTACAGCCGCCGTCGCCGCCGCCGCCGCCACCAGTACCCGCCTTACTCCGCCCACCGCCACGGCCGGCACCCCCGCCGCCGCGGCCGCCAGGTTGCCAGTACTCCGCCGGCAAAGTGGCGGCACCGGGCTTCTGTTTCGCAGCCTGAGCTGGGCTTTGCGCCGTCGCGGTCATGGCACCCTGGCCGGCCGTACTGCCGCCGTTGATGATGTTGCTGCTACTGCTGTTGATGGCAGTGTTCTTGGCGGAGTTTGACGACGAGGAAGCGGGAGGGGCCGAAGGGCGCCACGGGCATCCGTACGGGTCGTCCGTACGGGCCGCCGCTATCTGGTGACCAGCCTCCACCCAGAGGTTACTGCTGGACAGCGGCCCGTGGGTTCCGGGTACGACGCCGCCACCCGCCCGCAGCTGTGATGACGACAGCTGTGATGGCGCAGCTTGCGGCGGCGGCGGTGGCGGCAGTGGATCAGAGTGGCTGGCCTCCGCGGCTGGCCTCATATCCGCCGACGGCGCCGTCACCGTCACCGCCGCCGCCACAACCGCTTTGGCGGCGGAGTTATCTGCGAGCCTGCCGGCTGCCGCCTCATCTCCATCGCCGCTCGTAACTTCCAGCTCTACTTCCCCTTCCGTCGCCTCCGCCTCCACCTCTGTCGCTACCTCCAACTCCGCCACAGATTCGGTAGACCCGCTGCCACTGCTGGGTACTTGGGGTGCTTCGATGAACCAGCGATCCTCGCTGTCGGAAAATTCCGAGGCTAGGCCGCCGCCACCTACGCCGTACATCTGCCTAAGCACCTGTCCGTACCCATAGCGTTCACTATCATACATGTCGCCGCCATCATCGACGCCGCCGTAACGACGGCCCCATTCGAGAGCTTCCCGACGCGCCTCATCGTCATCGGCGTCACCACAGTCAGCATTGCCATGGCCATCATTACGCAGCTGCCCTCCCATACCGCCGCCGCCGCCGAAGCCGCCGCCGCTGAAGCCGCTAACGGCTAGATCCCCGAGTACCATGTCCAAAGCGGCCAAACTCTGCACGGCGTCTATCAGCTCCTCACCGCCGCCGCAAGCACCTCCACCATCTATCCGCTTTCCCCCGGCCATTTCTCCTCCTTCTCCTCTTGCTTCCGACGCCGACGACGAAGACGCCGACGACACCGACGATGCCGACTCTTCAAGGGGATCGTTCATCGCCGCCGCCACCACCACATCCCGCTTCAGCTCGCGCAGTAACTCCGCAAGATTGCCGAGCTGCGAGGCACCGAGCCCCGCCGCTGCGGCCGATAAAGGCGATGGCGACGTCGACGACCCAACCACCGCACAGCCGGTGCTGCTGCTGGTCGCAGCAGCGGCAGCTGCGGCGGACGGCGCTTCCTCGGGGTCGGCGGCGCCAGCGGCGATGAGCCATGGCACCGCCAGGCCCTCATCCTCCGCCAGGGCTTGTACGGAAACGTACAACGCAATGGACTCCCAGACCGTCTGGTTCCGTCGGAGCATCCGCGCGAGTGCCTTCGCCGTCAAATCGACGGAGTTATTGGCGGCGGTGGCAGCGGTTGCGGCTCCGGCGGGTGTGGGGTCAGGGAAACGAAGGGACGAACCGACGCCGGTGACGGCGGTGGCGGCGGTGCCAGCTGCGCTGTGAAGACGTCCCGGTAGGAAGTTGAAGGCGGCAAATGCAATGAGCGCGTGGTAGTGCGCCATGGGGCAGGGTCCAGCTGCCAGGACGCCCCTCTGCAGGAAAGCATCAAGCAGAGGGAGGCAGACACGGGAACCAGCAAGGAAGAACAGAAGGGCAGGAGCTGGTTGGTTCCGGAGCGTAAAAAGCGACGCTAGGTCGAGGCAAGGGCTGGGCCGGGTGGGGCCTGGGACTGAACAGGGAAATGGGTAGATTCCTACCGCTTCGATTTGCCCCATCCCTTTCCTCCAAACACACACACACACAGACGCGCACACACACGCACACATCAGCCGTCATAGAGGCACTGCAACAGACCTTCTTGCGCTGACAGATTACAAGTACACGAACACACACAATCAACAACACTCCTTGGGGTTCCGTACATTAGAACGTTTTGTACGAGAAGCCGTACACAAGCACGATTTCGGATTCCGTACACACACACACACACGCGGGTCGCACCATCTTGGCCCCCGGGGGAGGCCGGCTGTACATGGCCCACTCCCGGTACGTGGCGCCGGCTGCGACGCATGGCAGTAGCCGCAACAGCCGCAAAGGCAGGTCCGGACGATGTGCCAGTAGCGTAAGGCCCAGCAGCCCCAGGCGCAACATCTGGAATGGGGTTGGGTACGTCGTGCTGGGCGGTGGTTGGAAGTTGAGCTTCGAAAATCCAGAGCGAATAGCAGTTGGGTCAGTTAGACGTTAGGAGTTGATGTGATGAGAGGCCTCTGCAGCTAGAGCATGATGGAGATGGCGATAAAAGAAACAGCTGTACGGCAGTTGCGCGGATTAAACTTTTATACACGCACACACATACACAAACGGTGTCCCGGGCCCTCCTCAAAGTCGTAGCCCCCAGCTTCCCCCTTACCAATTGCTCCCACAACCCAACCCACACGGCACACACAGACACCTCCGCCGTACAGTCCCACACCACGCCCTCCCGCACGGCACCGCCATACACCGTGTGTACCGCTCACACCTTGCTTGCCAATGTGTTTTGCGAAATGGTGGACCCCAGCCGCTCCTCCTCCTCCCGCGCCTCCTGCTCCAGAGCCGCCCAGCTGCGAGGGTGCGCCTCCTGCAGCCCGGGCCTCAGCCGCCGCAGCAGCTCACCAATATCCTCCACCGACAACACCTGCTCCTCCGTCACCCGCGACCGCGCCGCGAAGTCCCAGCCCCCGCCAACCCTGCCGCCGACCCTATCCGCTCCCACAGCTCCTTCCGCGCCGTCACCAGCCTTGCTGGAAGCATCCACGGTCTGCTCATCGTCCTCCGTATACTCCGCATACTCCACTTCCTCGCCCTCCAGCTCGAGCTTCACGTCAGAATCCGTCGTCGCCGCTGCCGTGGTGTTTTCGTCGTCATCTGAAGCCACGCCGTCACGGTGACGTGTCCGCGGCAGCACAGCCGCCACCAGCCGTCGCAGCGCAGCGTCCGAGCGGAGGGTCGTCAGGAAAGCGGCACGAAGCTGCCCAGCGCGGCTCTTCTCCCGCTGCTCAAAGGCGGAGACCTCATCCGACAAGATCGCAGTGGTAGGCGCTGGTCCTGCTGGAAGGGATGCAGGACGACCAAACGGCGACCCCTCACGGCAACGTCCGGGGCCAGCGCCAGCTGCACTGGCGGCGCTGGTGCTGCTGCTGCTCATGCTGGTGCTGTTCTTCTCACCGTCCTCGAGCCATAGGCATGGCAGTCGAGCCGTACGGTTATCGGGGTCGTTATCGCCGTACGGTGGCAGCAGGACGCTTGCGGCGGCACGGTCCGCCAGCGCCTTCAGCTCCCGTGCCAAGCACGGTTGCCGTGAGCATACCGCTGATGACGTCACAACCATTGTGCCACTGGACTGAGTCGCTGGCGCGTTTGTTAACGCGAGCTGCCGATCCCAAGCTGACGGCGACTGCGGCGGCGGCGTCAGTATGGTGCTGCTGGCGGCGGCGGGGACGGTACGGCAGGAAGCGAAATCCGCAGTGATCATTCGTTCCAAATCCGGATCCACTACTCCTAGGGACTGTAGCCAACACACTGCCATGGAGGTGGCGCGAGCCGCCTGTCGAGCTAGGCTTAGCTCCCCACCCTCGCCGCCCGTAACACTGCTGCCGGCAAGCAGCCGCCGCCGCCGCCGCCTTCTTCCCTCACCACGGCAAGTCAGGTTTGCGGTTGCTGCGTCGCCAGGCTTGTACGGTACGTACGGCAGCCCTGGACCATACGTCCGTTGCGGGGAGCCCAAGACAACTGTAGTCGCGTCGCTATCACCGCCGCTATCGCTGTTTCCGTTGCGGTTTTGGTGGTTGCGGTTACGGCGACCCAGGTTGCTGTAGTCATCCTCAGATCTGTCCCCGTCATCGCTGCTACTGCCACCGTGCCATTCCGTGTAAGTGCCTGCTAACATACTTGCGCTTTGTGGGCTGTCGTGGGCTGTCCGCGACTGGGAGAGGCGTCCGCCTAGTCGATGCGACGCCACTGCCGGCGCCGCAGCCTCCGAGGCTGCCACGGAGGTTTTGGTCACACCGCACTCGGCGGCATCCCGGGGGCCCAATCCGAAAGCCCTCCGGGCCGCAGCTCCCCTCTCAGTCGCAAAAGGGACCGAAGTTGCCGACAAAGGGCCAGTGGGGGCCGCTGACGGCGGCGGCGGTCGCAACCCCAGCCCGAAACCGAAAGGCATGCCGCCGCTTGCGGCCAACGATTTCGTTGAGTACAATGCTGATGAATTTAACAACTTGGCACCGTACGGCGTCAGGCAAGGCTGTCCAGTACGACCTGCCTCTGCAATAATCTCTGTCCGTACTGCATACGCCTTGAAGGCGACACCCTGGCGGTCCTGCCGCCAAGCCGTCGCCACGTGTATCAGGTGATGTTGTGAGTACGGCATCACACCTCCTTGGGGGGCTCCGTGTCGCGGATTGCTGCTGCCTAACGCGTAATGTGCCGACAGTGGCGACGCCGGCGGCTCGACCAGCGACAGAAAGTCGTACAGATCATGTGGCCGTACAATGAGCGCCGTGACAGCGTTGCCTTTTGCGTCCTGTGGTGACATGCGCAGCAGGGATGAACGTAAACACTAAAACATGGACGCTTGATAGAACCCTGGGAAAGGGGAACTATGATGATGATGATGATGATGATGATGATAATCATGACGATGCACCACAAGTCCAAGCACGGGCTTGAGTCCATGAAGCTGCGCAAACCCAAAACTCAGAGCTCCTTTCCCTACAACATCTTCCCATGAATTTTATGTACGGCGCATGTAAACATTGCTGGCTGAGGTGTGAGAGGCACGAAGACTACGAACCTGTGCCTGCATGACATCAGACGAGCCGTGAAGGCGCCGGGCGTCAGGCCAAACCCACCGCGCGCACACACATACCAGCGGTCCCAAACTCGCAACACTTGCAACCCCTGCCGCACCTTCAGCAACTGTACGACGGCGTACAGCGCGGCGCATGCCAGGGGTTCCAGCTCATCCAGCTTTGGCTGAGACTGGACCTGTCGTACACCGGGAGGTGTGCGAAGCAGGTAAGGCTGCCGCAGAAGCGTCGCCTTGCTGCTGTCGTCTGTTTGTGCGGCTCGCAGTGCAAGCACCCCTCCGACGGCCGCAGCCACGGCCTGAGAGGAAATAAGCGGCAGGACGGGAACAAGGGCATGTGTCGAAGTATGTCGAAGTTCGGACGGCGAAAGTGTCAAGGTATAGGAAACGAAGCGGTCAAAGTGCGGAATGTGACGTGCCAGATACGACCCGCGGCGTGCGGCCACCAGGACAGTAGCAGGGAAGAGGGAGGGGCCAGGGAAGAGGGAGGGGCAGAGGATTGGTTGGGTGAGCGGGTGGCTGCAGTGCTGCGGGGTATATATACGTCCTGCAAGGGAACAGCAAGGGAGGCTGACTGGGAGGACAAACATTGGGGTGGGAAACAAGCGATAAAGCAGCGTGGATTGCCGCCACCGCCACCGCCACTACCATCACCATCACCATCAGCGCCATCACCAAATGCGGCAGATCAACGGCTCCGAAAGCTCCAAAGACCCAGACAGACAGATGTGGGAGATGACAGGCAGATCCCCACTTCATCACACCTCACCACACCTCACCTCACTCCAGCCCAAACCCATACACGTAAGCGCGCACCTCTGCCTGCCCAATCTCTACGAAGCGGCGCCACATCGGCGGCAGAGCCGCCAGCAGGTTCCCGTGACCCCGCCCGGCCTCAAGCCCCAGGGCCTCGCACACTCTCTTGACCCAGCAGCTGTCCCGAACCAGGGCGGTGTCGCTCAACTCTCGGAACATGGTCTGAGGGACCGCAGGAGGCGGCGCATGCAGTTGTAAGCGCAGGAAGCTGGGGAAAGGGGACTGTAAGGGGAGATACCCTTAGACCTGCAGGTCCGAGTAGACAAATCCGGAGGACAGGGGGAAGGGCTGGAAATGAAAATGGAGAAGGGAACAGGAAGTGATATGACGCAAAAAGAAGCAAATGGCCAACTGCCAACGGCCACAGGAAACTGAGGGGAATAAGAGAGGTAAGGGAACGACTCGCTCAAGGGGATACAGAAAAAGTGCATCAGCTGCAGACGTTCAAGCAGCCAAGCAGGCAAGTCCAGAACCTTGGGGGGGGAAACAAGGAAACGCAAGTGTATGTACCTGAGCACAAGAAAGACTTTCGGGGGACGCTGCAGCGGGAGCTTACAAATGGTCTGGATAAAGGGCGATCTGGGTCACATCAAGGGCAAAACACGCGATCTGGGTCACAACCCCCATTTCAATACTTTCACTCCTGTCGCCGCAGGCGAATGGCTGCTGTCCGCTCTCTCCACCGACTTCCCCCCTCCCGTCTCGGCAGGTCGATTTACTTTCGCAGCCTCCCCGTCAAGAACCAAGCCCCAAACCTCACCCATTTCGCCGGCGGGCCGTTCGCTCCTGCCTGGGACTCTCCCAGGCGCACAAATACGCTGCCCCCCTGCATGATGACCCCCCTGTTGCCCTAAACCTGTATTACATTGCATTACCCTGACCTCTGATTCCTCAAGCACCTCCACCAATCCAATGCCTCCGATTCTCTCCTACCTTACACCCCTCCCAGTCAGCGCTCCGGAGGTAACAGGAGGGCTTGCGTCGCATCACGTCTTCGATGACGAAGCTCAACCATATGGGTGATTTTATAGGGTCCTGTGCGCCTCCGAGGGCGCGTTCGGCCATTAGGAAATAATGTCGCAAGACACGGTCGGCTTTTGCCAACTGCTGCACGTCGTAAATCAGCATACGGGTTTCCTGAATAGCCCTGGATATGTCCAGTGTCTGGGCAAGAGTACTGGGCGGAACGTTTAGGAAATCCGCTGCCGCTATTCCTAAGCCGTCTGGTTGTGGCTTGGATGAAAGGCGCTTCCAGAGGCCCTTGTTGTGGTCTGTTGTGGTCTCTGATGGGGCAGTCGGGGCTGCGGCAGCTGCTGTCCCCGCCACAGCCGCCGACGACGACTGTGCTGTGAGACCCCCAATGACAGCCTTTGATGATAACCCCGGAGGTGAGGCGGGCGGGGCAAAGCGGGGCCCAGCCGCAGTGGCGGGTTTGAGCTGCGATGTCGATGAGGGCTCCGAAACCCAGGCAGGCCGTGGAAAAGACGATAAGGGATGGTTATCTGAAGTCAGCTGCCGCTGGGAATAATGGGTCTTCTCCAAAAGCGCAAAATTCACGGCATCCTGCTGTTGCTGTGCTTCGCCTGGGATTGGCGCGCGGCCTGCGAGAGCGCGGCGCTGGCGTCGCCACGACATTATATCGCGTGCATTCAGCACCGAGGCCTTCAGGCTGCCTGGCGCCAGCAGCGCGAAATGGCAAGGGGGTATGCCACCGGTGGAAGAGAAGGAACTAGACTTGTTCTGCGTGCTGCCGCTGGTGGCTTGGCGGCTGGTGTGTCGGGTGCCCAAGAGGAGGTATGGCAGCATAGTAGCAAGGCTTTCCGCTTGCCGGGCGCCGGAACCGGTACCCACAGAAGAGGACTGAGCCAGCGCCGCTGCGACATTAACCTTATGCCAATGCCGCTCCTGCTGCGCTTTGAGGTCCATCAATTAGCTCTTTGCCTGCCTGCCAGTGGATCGCGAAGCGAGGCAAACTTTGCGCAGTCGTGTGTCCCAGAGGTAATCAACTATTGCGCGGTATTAATATTTGCTACCTCAACATCACGACGATAACATTCGCCCTTGGTAGGGCACGATGGGCATTCGCACCTCGCCGTCGGCTACTCTCATGGTCATACGGGCTAATGCATGTCGACAAGCAGTCAAGACTCCTTAAAACTTGTACTGAAGCGACTGTTGTGATTTACACAAGTCATGGTTTCCTGGCGGGAACCTTCGTACAATATCGAGCATACTACAATGGATAGCTGAAAACCTGATAAAAGAATGAAGCCTTCAGTTACTAAAGCTGACAGCCTCTTGATGACCTTTTTCGCCTTCTTTTTTCAAACGCAACGAGCTGGCTGATTATCACGTTGGTTTCTAGTGAAGTCCGCTGTCCTAGTATCTCTTAGCTTTCCCCTTTTATTTTGTTTTCCTTGCATCTTTGTTTGCGTAAGGCGGCTTATGAGCCTTCGGCTTTGTCTGGACCGTACAAGCTCGTGAAGCTTGTAACCATCCATCCAATGGATAGCTCAGGATCGCAATATCAAACGGCTCCTCTAAACGATAAGCCGTAAGGGGTGTAAGTGCTCCTGAACTGGTTCTTGTCGTTCGTTGTAATTTTAGTACGAAAGTTACACAACTAGAAATCGGGCAACGGGTGCTGCATACGGTAAGCACATTCAGGCAGATTTTCCTTTCTCTGTACGTAGTTGCTCTGATTATAACTTCGTACTTTGCTAAAATGTTTTGGTGGGCCCATGGCTCAGGGCTAAGGCACGGCGGTTGGTGCACAGGATCGCTACCGTATGACCGCTTTTGTTTGCGTGATGAATTTTGAATATAGGGGGGAACCCCTAAACTGCCGGCAAAGGAAAGAATTGCCACTTCACAAAGCTGCATTCGGCACCGGTATCAAGACGGTGATATGTGCAAAGAAGCTTGGCCCAACAGAGCACGTCTAGGACCTGTTGCTTGCATGCATAATCGTTCCGAACCCGCAAAGCATGGCCCATGATTACAAACAACAGTCGCACGCCGTGACGGTCCTCATGACCCTTAGCAAGAGCGGTTTTGGTGCTAATGCACACCGTTGCAGACGCTTCAGTTTTACCTAGGGCGCATGGGACGGTGACCTGCTCGCCGCTGTCCACCCCTCGGCCCAGCCAGGCAGAGGCAGGCAGTCACTTCACGAAACAGATGTACAACGATCTGCCAGACTAGCGCACCGCCTCCTGTTCGCTGAACTGCCACGGCTACTTACACTACCACGTTTTTAAGCAGAACGTGAGGTTTTGGAACCGTATCCGCTTACAGCGTGGGTCTGTGGCACACCACGTTTTGCGACAGGAGATCGTAGAGGCTCCCTAAAACCCCGAAGGGGCGGGATGGGTGTCACTAGTTCTTCGTTTTATGAGTTTTATGGGGCACGACGTATGGAAAGAGGCCCTGCAAGGGCTACGTGAGGCTCATGAACGAGTGGAATGGCTAATGATAATGAATAGGCCATTGCCGGAAGGTGTGGTATCGGAGTTCAAGGATCGATTGATGAGCGGTTGGAAGCATACGCATCTAGATGTCTAGCCAGACGTGTACCCGTCAGACGGTAAGCAACCGGAAATCCACATGGCAAAATATAAGCATGGGATGGGTCTGGCAGGTGAGCACGCGGGCAGGAAGGAGGTGCTCCCGCATATTACAACCTTTAAGCTTATGAAGTTGAGGCTTTGCTGTTGGGCCTCCAACGCGCAGCAGCGAACAACGGGACGGTGTTATGTACCTAGGGAGGAACGCCATATTGAAGATGAGAAGCACATCTTGCTGAAGTGGATTTCCCATGCTTTGAGAGTATGACGGACACTATGAACTGCCGCCACCACTAGCCGCTACTGGCCACCGCTCCATGTCACCCTCTGCTGGCGGTCAGGTGGTTCGGAAGCTGTTGGCCCTGCCGGGGCGCGAAGACGCAGCCCGACTGAGGGAGCTCAAAGAGCTGGCGGGTGCAACGTCGAATATAATAGGCTAAGATCACCGTATGCTTTGCCTTGCCTGTCTTTTGCTTTTTTGCCGTCACCTTTATTACGATTACCGCCCTCCTCTTCGTTTTGCTTATTACACTACCTTTAGTGCTGGACCACATGCGTACGACGTTGGCGCTGGTGTCGTACATCCCCGCCCTGGACTTGGCTAACCGCGGCTGGATGACGAGCAGGCGGCCGCCCTGGAGGGGAGGGTGTGGCTCCAGGGGGCTGGCGGCGGTGGGATTGGCGGAGGCAGCGGCCCCAGGGGGGTCTCAGGGAGATCTGGGGATGTGGAGTTTGATGTGATGGCGAGCTGGGTACCCTAGTACGGCAGGGGCTTTGGTATGGCAAGTGTTGGGACAGGTGTTGGGCAGGACAAGTGTTGGGCCGGCAATAAGTGTGTGCTAAAGGTGCTGGTGAACCTGCTTAGGCGAAGAAGCGGTTCTGTGACGATGTTCGTGAACCCCGATATGATGACGATACGGTGCTGTTGCTGACAGACACCAGGTGTACGACACTGACCTTGCATGGAGCTGAGCCGCATGTACATCGACAATGGCGCCATGCAGCCACTGCGCAACCCCAAGTACTTTGACGTCATTGTTACAGGTAGGCTTGCAAGGCGCCACCAGGGAGTCTCACGCGAAGCGGTGCGGGCGGTGTTCGGCAGGTTCTGGTGCAGCCAGCAAACGGAGGCAACCAGTATATTGTTGCCACTAGCAAGTCTGTTAACCATCTTTGAAAAAGTGAGAAGCGCGCTCAGAGGTACTATTTCCACTTGTAGCCTAGAAACTAAGGAATGTTTTAGTCATTCCGTCCACGGTTTGCCCACGTCCCCACCCTGTACAGCACTACAACATGTGCGCCATGCAGAGGATCACCGTACGTCGCATGTCTACATCCCCCATGTTTTGGTGGGGGGGAGGTGGGGCCCAACGTCCAAGTGCCCGACTCTTCCTGGAACAGAGGTGATACCGCTTTCGTTGTGCGTCTGGCTGCACCGTAAGTGAATTCGTTCCGCTAGGAAATCAGCTACATGAGGACTTAGGATCATTTCGCCACATAAGACGGCTCCCCGATGGCTTTTCCAGGAAAGGCCGTTGGACGGTCGTTAAGGAAATTGTTGTCCGGCCTGTCTGCCGTTTAGTGTGTATGCGGTAATTGGTTCCAGACTGCTCCGATCGACTGACTATCGATTTGGTATAAGAGACAATGAGCGTGCTGCTCACGTCGGTCTGGAACGCGTGTTGGGTAGTGAGGTTCAGCTGAGCCGGTGAGGCCCCTCATGGGGCCGGAATTCCGGAATTTGACCTCGTGAATTCCCAAGCAAATCCGGGTCAAATCCCAACGGGATTTGAGGATTTGACCCCCAAAACAATAAACAATATAATGGTCATGCAAAGATTTCCTCGGGCCTGGAATTTGACACATTTGAGGATTTGAACCCCCCAAAACAATTATCATCATGCAACATGGCCATGAAAACAATTCCATACGCAGCCGTTACAATATATTGCATATCTTCGAGCGGCATGTTATGCTCGTGCCAGTCAGTCCTCGCGCCGCATGCCTTCAAACATTTAGTTAGACTTTTACTATTAGAGTTATTCCTCCAAAGCCGGCGCTCACCGCAAAGAGCGATGTCAGACAGCGGCGATGGACGGGCCAACAAACGCCGAAAGGCTCAACCAGGTACCCTAGATGAACTGAACCGGCACGTGCAACAATTAGGCAAGAAAACGAATACGAACTGTACGTTTTCTTCATATGGGATAACCATCTCACTCGCAAGGGTCGCGGACAGCATCCCCGGGATTGAGAGGCAGCTAGGCGTCACATTCTCTACTCAGGACGTCTCAGACATGCGTGTGAGTTATCAATAAAGTTAACCCCTAGTATGTTGTGGTGGAATGGTCGCTTTACCCTGTTGGTGCTCGTACGAGTGCCCCACCTATCGTTCTGCAAGTTGTTTCACACGTGCTAAAACTAGCATACGGGAAGCAGGGCGCCACAGGGCGTCGTCGGGGCAGAGAGAAACCCACGGGTCGGCAACGAATATACAGTTCGAACGCATGCACATGCACACACGCAGCTGCAGCTGCGTGCGCACAAACTCTCACTTGCGCGCCACAGGGTGGTGTGGCTCAAAACAACTTACACCACCACAAGTGGGAGAAGACAAAACACATGCATTCCTACCCACAAAATGCGCGTTCTTCCACAATAGCTTTTGTGTAAAAGATGTTAAAAAGAGTCCCCCACGGCACCTCTCTCCAGCCCTCCACAGCTGGACGACTCTGCGCCCTCTGTCCTATAAAAAGAGTCTAAACGTACCCCACATCCTATACCACATTGCATGCATCCGACGTGTATCATGTTTTGGACGTATTGCAAATGCATCCCCCTTAACCCCGGCGTCATCGAGACATTCTGACACATTCGGATATTGTGTCCTTCAAATGAATCAGGGCGGCGTGTGGTATAAAGCACCGTATAAATTGCACCGGAAGGAGCCAGCTGTACACCAAAAGGGCGCGCAGCTTGAATGGCGGTTTAGAAGCCATAGCGCGCTACGGCAGTTGCCAAGTCAGTCAGATGTAGACGTAAGGAGGCCTGGCCAAAATTTTCAACTTTACCAATCTGGCGTGACGTTGTAGGGATTGCTCCTTGGTTTATGTTCGAGTACCCGGCTCTTCCTGGAACACAGAAAGTGATACCGCTGCGCTTTGTGCGTCTGGCTGCGCCGTAAGTGGAATTCGTTCGGCTAGAATCAGCTACATTAGGACTTAGGATTATTTCGCCACATAAGACGTTTCCCCGATGGCTTTTCCAAGAACGGCCGCGAATCGCGGGCGCATCACTTTTGCGCAGGTCTCCATCGCTGTTCTGGTTTCTCAACCTTCTTTTGGCCTGATTTCCGCTGGAGGTCCCCACTGAAGCTGCTTACAGATAGCCGGACGTGTTTGGAGTAAGTATGTGTAGTATATTCGGTGGCAGTGTGTAGTATAATGGCTTCACTGCATACATTGCCTCTCGATGCTGTGACTGCAGTGGCAATGACTTCAGGCGCTCGAACATACAGATAGGCATTTACAGTCGCAGATTAACCCTGGAACTGCATTCCTTAGTTACTGATTGGCATTGCAGCGTGTTGTGTGTTCTGCCTTGCTTGGGCATCAGTTTGTCCGTGATCTCTTATTTCAGCTGTAGAGATACTGAGCATTAACTAGGCCTCGGTTGCCTTGCATTTGCTGCTGTTTTCACATGTTCACAGAAGCGAGTATGGAGGCCGTAGAGCGGGACATTCGGAGGGTTGACAAGGAGATAAAGGCCGTTGGGAAACAGATAACGGCTTGCAAGGATAGTAAGACATTACAGATTTTGTGGACGGAGAAACAGCAGCTCCGAGAGGAGAAGAAGCAGCTCCGAGACGAGAAGAAGGAGCTGCTTCCTCTCCTCCGTAAGCAGGAGCAGCAGCTCCGTAAGCAGGAGAAGCAGCTCGGTGAGCAGGAGATGCAGCTCGGTGAGGCCTCCTAGGAGCAGCTCATCTTGCTTCGAAATGGTGATTTATGTCAGCACATATGCCTTAAGGCCATGCGGAGAGTTGTATTTTAAAATGTTTATACACCGCTACAAGGAATATTAAATACTTTAGGTCGGGTATCAGTCATTTTGTTGGGCGGGGCCCCAGTGTGAAGCACCCAGGGGCCCCGCCCTGTAGGATTGCCCATGTCCCTGTGGCCGTGTGTGTGGCCGTGGTTGTGTAACGGACCAAACACAAAAACGCGGTATTGGTGATATATTGCTTTCTTTATTGCAGGGTATCTCATCTGTAGCCAACAGAAATCGTATGAGCACAAGCAAGTTTGGCCGCCTCCATGAACACCCAGCTTGTGTTACCATTTGCCCGCGCGGGCGTTCCGACAGGCTGACAAATTTGATTTCATTTCTCTAGGAAGTACACAAGCTGCTCGTTACTTTGGCCAATGCTCGGGGCTCGGTTTGTCGGCTTCCTGCCACCCGCACTCTGACAAGCATACCTCCCACAGCATCAGCACTGCTGCAACAAGCACAGCTCGCACAATGTTGTCACTACCCATCAATTGTCACACATGCTACCCTAGCTACCGGCCTGTACGGATGCAGGGGGGCACCCTTTTGCACCCTTTTGCCACATAAGGATATTATATTATTATAATTAGAGGACACTATATTATTGTGGTATCACCCATCATGTCTCACACACTCCTACTGTTGAGTTATAAATGACCTGTATATTGCATCCTTGTTTTTCTTTTCGATTCTAAGCCACCTGATGGCCTTGGTGGCTGAATGCCCTTCATTCCGACTTGTGTGCATGCCAAACTGCCACATCCGCAGCTTGTTCTGCAGCAGTTCCGGACAAGAATGTGACATGCTTCTTTGCTGCACTGCTTAACATGGCAGTGCCGGATGCTGGCAATCTGCTCACTCTGGGCAGTGATGTGTTCCCACTGCATAAGGAAAGCAGGCAGCTGTATGTTCGCGAGTGCTATCCGGAGCTCTTTAAAGCCATCTATGAGTACAAGAACAAGAAGCATGTTGGTGAGGCCCGCCTCTTTCCCTGCTGTTGCCCGCCAGGTGACCTATGTATGCAGTCAGGACCCAATGCCCTCGGTGTTGTACTATGTTCCTAACCTAGCTTGTGGCTTTTAAGCACTTGGGCCTCTGCCTTGTTTGGGCTCATTTACACCTCTCTGAGTGACACGTGTGGATGGGTGATGACATTTTGTGTAAATGCCTATTTGCTGGTACTGGCCTGTTGCGCTGCCTGGCCCTGTCCATTGGATGAAGCGTCCTCATGAAGCACCCTCACTGACACACCGGCCAGTCAGGGGTTACGAAGGACGACTGCTCCCAACCTGCCAGTTCTGCAGGCAGGTCTCTAACAGTAACGGTTCAAGTAGCAGTGCAGTGTGGGGTTTTGAAGCATCAAAGCCTCTCTGCAAAGCTATATATGTATCCTGCGGCAGTCAAACATTCACTCCACTCACTTGACATCCATGGCCATCCCCTTGCCTGTGTGCAGTTACTGGGACACCTGGGATTGGCAAGAGCTTCTTCTTCTACTACATGGTGTTGCAGCTGCTGCACAGCCCATCACCACCACCCTTCATCCTTTGGGAGCACCTCGGAAATCCTGGCCAAATGGTGGGTTAGATATGTGCTGTGCTGTGTTGGGATGCTGGTGTAGGAGCTGTTTGACACTCTTTTCCTTTTTCTGTCCCTTCTGGTCACCAGTGGTGCTACACGCATGAGACAGGCCAGGTCCGTCACTCCAGCAGCCGCATGACCTTTCAACATGAGTTTGAGAACCGTGATACCTGGTGGGTTCTACTTGCACTGGATGGAGTGACTGGATGAGGGTGCCCGGAAATTACCAGGGAAGGCGGGGTTTCACCGGGTAGTGATAGGGTAAGATATGCCCCCCTGTCCCACACATCATACATACATACATGCATGCATAGGGTTTGGCATTACTGGTAACGCGCGACCATTGCCCCCGGGGATCCCGGGATCCCGGGATTGATACCTGTTAGGGTCAAAAATCCTTCCGATGGTGGAATTCTTCCCCTGAAGAAGACGGAGACTTTTTTGCGCCCCTAGTTGATGGATGGTGGTGACCTGGGATAAAGTTAACCTGCGAGCCAACCAGGAATCGAGTTGGGCTGCTGTCGACCGGCAGATTCCGTTGGATGCTGGTGGTGGGTGCGGAACCTGAGCTGTGTTCCATCTCCTTTAGTTCTTCTTCTTCCCCTTTAGTTCCCCAACTAAAGTGTTCTTCTTCTTCAGTTCAGAAGATGAACACTAAAGGGGATGAACTCTTCCCCTTCAGTTGTTATGATTCCCCTCCGGGAATGTGGTTTGTAGTTTAATTATATTAAACTACAAATACGCAGCGCGTCCCCGGCGGGGAAAGCGCTGTGAGATCCACTGAGAAGTTGACTAGGGTGACTGGATGAGGGTGCCCCAAAATACCGGGGAAGGCAGGGTTTGGCAGGGTAGCTGCCACGGGTGAAGGTATACCCCCCTGTTTCACACATCATACATGCATGCATGCATGCATAGGTCAGGCACTACTGGTAGAGAACGCACCAATGCCCCTGGAGGTTCTGGGATCGAGACCTGTCAGGGTCGAAAATCCTTCCGATGATTGAAGGTAAAAGTGCCCCTAGACAATGGACGGTGGTGACCTGGGATAAAGTGATCTTGTGAGCTGACCAGGATTGAAGTCAAGCCACTGTCGATTGGGCAGATGCCGGATAATGCTGGATGCTGGTGGTGGGTGCGGAACCTGAGCGATCCACTGAGAAGCTGGCTATGGTGACTAGATAAGGGTGCCCTGAAATACCGGGGATATACCGGGGTAGCGACTGCAGGGTGAAGATATGTCTGTCCCCTGTCCCACACATCATACATGCATACATGTGCTATGACAGGGGACTGATGATGTTCTTACAGGCCATGGTCTGCTCTTTGTCCATTCTGTCCTTGACATCTAGTTACCTTGTCCTGTCAGGTACTTTGCCGATGGAGTGCAGCCAATAACCACCACTGCGGTGCACACAGTGCTGATAACCCCACCCGTGTATAAGACGTCCAAGGTAGGCATCTTGGGCCCAGATGGGACTGGAAGGCATACCATACACTGCTCTTGCTTGTGCACCTGGCATGTAGCATCCAGGACTACTTGTCCATTAGTTGCCACCTAAATAGACTAGGAAAACCAGAATGAAGACCTGTCACCCCACCCTCCCTCGGGCTGCAGGAGATGGAGAAGGAAGGCGCCAGTGTGTGGTACATGCCTGTCTGGGAGTATGACGAGCTGCTTGACTGCCGCAGGTGCTGGGTGTGGGGTGGGTTGTGTGGGAGCCAGCCTGTAGGGCTACCTCACGTGTTGCATGTGCAACTATTCCTGATTATACATCCAAAATTTTCTTAGGCTAGGGTTCATGATGGGTTTCGTAAAAAATTATCAAACATTACAAAGGGTACCTGCAAGTAATTAAAAACAGTCTTCCTTCGATAGGTAGGCCAGGTGGAGGCCAGCTACCGTGAGGCAATCCACTAGGCCTGGACACCTAACACCTCACAGCAGCGACCTAATGCCAGCTACAAAACCGAAAAATACTCGAGCACACCAGAGCAACCTCCTTTACCGGCATTACATGCCATACCAACACACAACTAACTCTTCTGAGTTAACGTAAAACTTCGGTTTTCTATCATTAGTCTCAGAAGATCTTCAGTTTTGCACAGTAAAGATTATCAGGGTTGATATCACCTGATTGATATCACCTTAATATGCTAATCGGTCCATAAGCTGTTTTTGTGCTTAGGGCATCCGGGGGTTACCATTGGGCTACCAGGGGGTGAAGGAGGGTAACCCATGGGTTGGGGTTTTGGGGTTAAAACCCTAAGGTGGGTAACCCATGGGTTACCGACCCAATCAGTGCCACAGGGTTGTTTTTCGATTAAAGCATTGATGTGAAGGAAAGGGTGGTGACCCCTCGACTCTCCAGCAGTGCCCAGCAGAAGGCAACCCTGTGGCATAACCATTTGGTTACCACCCGTTTTGAACACTATTGGGGTTCGTTGACCAAATCGACTGATTAATGATCAAGTTAACTGGTCAGTTGGGTAAACGGTCGGTTGAGTGGTTGCAACCAAGCAGCAAAGCACTAACAAGGCATATCAGTGGAAGAGTGTGACACCAGGCAAAGAGTACTCGGGGAGATGCCAATTGCAAGGGAGCTAAACCCTTCTTACAAAGAGTTGGTTATTGGTCACTGCAAGAGAGACTAGAGCTGCTTAGGGGATTTCCGAGTGACCATGCATCGGGAGTGTGAAGGCTGTAACATGGGGGCAACCCAGTCATGTTACCTATCTAGGAATCAACTCTGTCTGCCACTCAGGCTTAAACAGCAGTCTAGATGTTCATCTCCCAACCGTAGCATCACTACTACAACTATTCAGTCTCCCTGTCATCCATCAAAGTTCAATGACATGTCAACTACCACCCTGCACATGCACACCGTTGTGCAGGTCATCCCATGACAGTGACCTTAAGGACATGCTTGTGCACATCATCACATCTGTAACCAGGCCTGCTCATCCTTGCAGCTAGCTCTATAGATATGACACCGTCATATGACAGTGTCCTATGTATGGGATAATGTGGCAGACATATCTGTCACTACTTATCCTAAGGCCTTACTTTTCACCCGCCATTAGGTCCCGTGTTACCCAGGATACTACAGTTATCCCCCCCTCTAGCTGTAGAGGGCGTCCTCGACCTCGGCTAATCTGCTTTCCTGAGAACTGAACCCGGGTTTGAACCGAGATACCCAGGATACTCTAGCCACATGTGTCCCAAGCTTGGGCTTGATGGAGCCTTTGTTGAAACCACACTTGATGCAATTTATCCTTTATGCAAACAGCCAAAATAGTCACTCGCTTTCCCTCACACCAAAAACATGCCCGCAGCAAGATGTATGATGAAGTCCCGGAGGCGACCGTGGAGAACCTGTACCAGTGCTATGGTGGCGTGGCACGGTATGTGCTGCAACATCCATTGCTGCACCCGAATGCGAAATTGTGTAAGCTTCTGGAGCCGCTGGTCAACGCGATACATACATGTGTAACGACGCAAATGCCAATCTGAGCATCCCGGGTTACGCCTTTGCTGTGTTACAATGGTATCGAGACGGGACCGCACGAATTCCGAAATAAACTTCGGGTCGGCGGTTCGATTCTGGCAACCAGCAAGTCGCAAATTGGCGATTTCATGGTGTAATGGATAAACCAGCGCACTGGCGCGAGGTGGGATGGCTCCTGTGCTCGAAATAATGGCCGAGGACGTCCATTGCTAAGTGGGGGGCAATGTAACGACGCAAATGCCAATCTGAGCATCCCGGGTTACGCCTTTGCTGTGTTACAACATGCAACGTTGACCAGGTGAAGCATTGTAGCAGTGCTAGTCCTCTACCCTGACTAGGGGGGCGGCTTTTCAAAGCCGAAAAGGGGCTCGGCCCTGGTGCAGCCACTTGCTCCCTCTAACTCGGAGCCATGGAAAGCTATCTTTGTCGCGCTCCGATTTATCTGGAATGTCTCCTTTGGCAGGTGGATGTAGAATAGATATAGCTTCTACATTCAATCTTTTGTGGAGCAAGATCTGTTACTTTATGTCAAACTCAGAGCCATGAAAAGCTATCTTTGCGCTCCGATTTATCTGGAATTTCTCCTTTGGCAGGTGGATGTAGAATAGATATAGCTTCTACTTTCAATCTTTTGCGGGGCAAGATATGTAACTTTATGTCAAACTTGAAGTCATGGAAAGCTATCTTCGTGCTCCGATTTATCTGGAATGTCTCCTTTGGCATTTCGATATAGAATGGATATAGCATTCAAACATAGCATTCAAACGCTATTTTTTGCGGGGCGAGATATGTAAGCCACTGACTGACTGACTGACTGACAGCAATGAACCCGGGGCCTCACCCAAAAATGATTTCGTTTCAGGCCATTGCCTAGGTTTTGACTGGATTGCCTGAGTTTTCAATTCTGAAGTTGTTTCTATTCAGTATAAATTGTCTCAGCTTCTTAGTATTATTGCTGAACTCCCATGTCTTCCCATGCCCCATATTGCTGCTGACGTCTCATTCCTTTGCCTCATTCCTTTGCAAGGAGAAGTTGCATCCTGCCTTTCACGTGTAACACACCTGCGACTTGGCCTGCCACCCTGGTTGCTCCCCTGTACATCAGGTTCGAGTGGCCATTAATGGTGCCATCAATATGGGACCTGAGGCGAGCCATCACCTGGTCCATATTGTGGCTGATGACAAGTTTGAGAAGAAGCTGAGGTTCGCAACCAAGTGGGCAGCTGGCGAGTTTGTCAAACAAGCCTTGATCTCTGAGGAGCAGAAATTGGTATCACTGCTGAAACTCTGTGACGGTGGACTCAAGGACCTACTGTATGAGACAATTATGCATGCTAAACTGGCGATGGGTGGCAAGTTCAATGTGGTGCCATTGCACCCAAAGACTTTGGAGAGGGGCAATGAGGAGAAGCTGGTCATCCAGGCCTGCAAAAAGGTTCGCTGCTTCAAAGACGACATCAGTGGCATGAACAGGGCTAGGAGTGTTTACTTGAAGTCTATTTCCTCCACGTTCCCTGTCATTGACGCTGTTAGGGTGCCGGAGCTATACCTCTTTCAGATGTCTATATCAGCTACCAAGGAGATCAATGCTGATGATCTTGAGAACATGTTTGAGCGACTTGGCATCCCTGCTTCAGGCCAGGAGGGCCCCAATCCCAGCCTCTACTTTGTGGTGCATCCTGACTTCTACAACACCTTCAAGGTGCAGGCAGCAATGAAGAAGTGGAAGTCCGGCCAAAGTGACAAGGTGGGAAAGGCTGCCTGGCCGCCCAATCCCAAGCAAGTGCGTGCAGCTAACACCCAGTTGTACATTCTATGTGGCACCTGCTAAGACCTGTACAGCAGCACATGATGCATCCTCACCACAACAGGTGGGCAAAGGGACAGTTTTACATGTGTGAGCTACTGTCCTTAAGACTATAAGCTTATTGGTGCAGTGGTAGCAGCACAAATTAGTTAGCAGTTGTGGCTCACTGGATGTAACGACGCAAATGCCAATCTGAGCATCCCGGGTTACGCCTTTGCTGTGTTACAATGGTATCGAGACGGGACTGCTCGACTTCCGTAACAAACTTCGGGTCGGCGGTTCGATTCTGGCAACCAGCAAGTCGCAAATTGGCGATTTCATGGTGTAATGGATAAACCAGCGCACTGGCGCGAGGTGGGATGGCTCCTGTGCTCGAAATAATGCCCGAGGACGTCCATTGCTAAGTGGGGGGCAATGTAACGACGCAAATGCCAATCTGAGCATCCCGGGTTACGCCTTTGCTGTGTTACACTGGAGCTGTCATGAGATGTGACTACTGGCCTTGTCCCCTGTAGAGTCGTCATGACCACATGCACAGTAGTATGTTGGCAAGGGGCAGGAGTGTAGCAGGGAAATTGTTACTGTCGTTTCCTGTCGTGTACTGCTGCTGCTGCCATTTTGCTTTGTGTTTCATTAGTGCCATGCAGGTAGTCAATAGTGAAGCAGCGGCTGGGTAAAGTAGTAGGGTAGGAAAATGTTTCATTTTGATCACCAGGAATGCGCTTACCAGTGTGTGGGTGATGTGGTCTGTGGACGAGGTTTGGACAAATTTTATTTGAGAATGGGCTGTAGATATTTTCTGCTGGGAGGCCCCTTCCCTTGAGCCAGAGATTGCTGCTGTTGTCAATTGCTGTGCTAGTTGGTTGAGTTGGTAGACAATCAGGTGCAATCTCACTACCAGATGTGCCATATACGTGTGACTGAGAGAAGTGTCTGCTAGGTTTTTGTAGTAAGTATTGATGTGTTGGGCTGGGCAGATGACGAGTACATGTACATTACATGCAGGTGGTGGCTTCTGTACATTTGGAGGAGGGCTTATCCTGGTTCTGGTTCCTGTCATGCTGCCAGCTTTGAACAACCTGGGAAATGTAAGGAATTTGTGTTCGTTACCAAATAGGTAGGATTTAGCTTTGATCAGTACGGATTGGTGTCGTGCAAGACTATTTAAGGGATCCCTACACCTTAATTTGTAAGCTTAGTATTCTTCTCTTGCCTCTCAGCCAGCATCAGATGTTGGGCACTGCAGACCGGGCAAGTTAGGAACTAATGCTTCCTCCAGTCGCCAACTGGAGCCAGTTTCTTTCAATTTGCTTTGCCATATACACTGATAGGCTAGCTTGGGCGAAAATACGGTTCCAGGATAACCAACCAGCCTTACCAGCCTACCAGCCTTGATGACAATATTGTCCCGTATCCTTAATTAACTAATTACCGTATCCTTGCCTGGGACACCAGCTGTAACTGTACTCATGCTTTATATTATGTAATTGTACTCGTGCATAATATTTATAATGATAAAGTTGCAGAGCGAATAAATTTCTGCCTGTTCCCCTCGGCCTGCATGATATCAAGGATAAGGAGCCAGTGGCGGCTGTTTTTATTGCATGACCTGTTTGCTTTTGACATCAAGGTCGCCATTGTGAGGTGGGAACTCCCTGGATCACATCCAGATATCGCAGCTCAAGCAATGACGTATTCAGTCTCCCTGTCATCCATCAAAGTTCAATGACATGTCAACTACCACCCTGCACATGCACACCGTTGTGCAGGTCATCCCATGACAGTGACCTTAAGGACATGCTTGTGCACATCACCATCACATCTGTAACCAGGCCTGCCCATGCTTGCAGCTAGCTCTATCATTCTAGATATGACACCGTCATATGACAGTGTCCTATGCATGGGATGATGTGGCAGACATATCTGTCTGGTCTGGGTTGACCGTCATATGACAGTGTCCTATGCATGGGATGATGTGGCAGACATATCGGTCTGGTCTGGGTTGACACTACTGCAATTAGCGGTTTAAGGTCCTGGGTTCGATTCCTGGGGAGACCCCCGAATTAGTCGGGAGCGCGAGATTATGGCTAGCTGCTGAGATGTGGAGTTGAGGTCACAGTTGATGGACCAGATTCGCACGCTGGATTGGTGGCGATTGCCGAACCCTCCGTCTCTTCGGGTGTTCGGGTGAATGGATGAGGTGGGGTCCCTGAAGGCTGGATCCGCCGCCTTGGACTTACAGTTCGTATGGCGAAGTACAGTGTGGTAGTGGTGGATGGTGCTATAAGGTGATAAATGATCTAGAACTGACAATGTGATAAAGTGGCCCAGAAGCCTCCCACTCTGTAACATTACATTACATTACATTACATTACATTACATATCTGTCACTACATATCTGTCACTACATATCTGTCACTACTTATCCTAAGGCCTTAGTTTTCACCCGCCATTAGGTCCCGTGTTACCCAGGATACTACAGTTATCCCCCCCTCTAGCTGTAGAGGGCGTCCTCGACCTCGGCTAATCTGCTTTCCTGAGAACTGAACCCGGGTTTGAACCGAGATACCCAGGACACTCTAGCCACATGTGCCCCAAGCTTGGGCTTGATGGAGCCGTTGTTGAAACCACACTTGATGCAGTATATCCTGCGTGCAAACAGCCAAATTAGTCACTCGCTTTCCCTCACACCAAAAACATGCCCACAGCCAGGGTTCTTCACCAGGGTACCCAAAAATTTCGGCCGTGTCCGAAACCCTCTGAATAACCTTTCGGGGCTCTCCCCGAAAATTTTCCTGTCAGCCGGATAGTGTTTTCGGGTACCCCTAAACTGTCTGAAGCGGTTTTCGGGGTACAATTTAGCTGGATTCTTCGTTATATGCTAGGACGGCTGAATTAACAGGTGTTTGACTTTATTTTGGAACATAGCTCCTTTGAGAAATATATCAGCAAGGATTTTACCCAAAGCAAAGCTATCTTCGGTTTTAGGGTTTAGGGTTAGGACTTCATAACTGAAAACTCTTTCTGCAAAACGTCAAGCCACGAATCCTGAGGGAGATGCGGGGTACCTTGGTTGGGCGCTCATCATCAGTTGACTCGGGCATGCATATGCTTAGATGTCTGAAAATGTGGGATATGGATATGCTTAGATGTATGAAAATGTCTGCGATACAGCTGTGAAACAGCCGCAATGCACATTTGTACTTGTTGTTTGACTGGTGACCAAGCGGGTCTTATATGGCAAGTCCGGTTTCCAGGCCCCGTCTGCGCCCGAAAACATGCAAATTTACGCTGACATATCGTTCGGTTTTCTCCGAAAATGCCTTCAAAAGGCTTCGGTGGACTTGACGCGAGCAACCTTGCGAGCTACCTTGCAAGCTACCTACAAACATCACGGCCAGAGCGTCCCATGCCCACTTCGCGTTCGCTATATCGCCAGGGCTCATAACCTGTTAAGAATATAAAGGAGGCAAGGAGACTGGTCGTGATATAAGGGTTACAGCCTGTGGGTTAGTGGTGAACAGCAAGAATACGTTAGGAGATTCCTATGAAGGAATACCGATCCATCTGAAGATGAGATACCAAGACTAGCATAACTTGTGTCTTATATACCAGTACCAATGGAAGTATCGTACAGTCGTCCACCATCCCTGGACCTGAGGACAGTCCGAGATACGCGGCCGAGAGACCCGAGGCAAGGTCGAGGCACGGCCGAGGCATCGCCTATCACGGCGGATTCATCGCCTATCTACCACCTATCTACGTTGGGATAGGACCGCCCTTCAACAATACGCGGCCGGAATCATCGCCTATCAATCAATCTTGGATATGCCCGCCTACCATCCTGCACTATTGTTGGGACAGGCCTGCCGGACTGTCGCTGATAGGCGCCAATCAGTCAGGTGGATTCGCCCACCTATCATTCCGCGAACTAGTGGAGCCGTCCTGACGGTGCCCAAACGTGCACCACTAACTACCGGTTATGCATCGGCAGATAAAGTCCTGGAGGCGACCGTGGAGAAGCTGTACTAGTGCTATGGTGGCGTGGCATGGTACGCGTTGCAACATCCATTGCTGCACCCGGATGCGAAATTGTGTAAGTTTCTGGAGCCGCTGGTGAACGCGATACATACATGCAACGTTGACCAGGTGAAGCATTGTAGCAGTGCTAGTCCTCTACCCTGAAAATGATATCGTTTCAGGCCATTGCCTAGGTTTTGACTGGATTGCCTGAGTTTTTAATTTTGAAGTTGTTTCTATTCAGTAGAAATTGTCTCAGCTTCTTAGCATTATTGCTGAGCTCCCATGTCTTCCCATCCCCATAATGCTGCCGTTATCTCATTCCTCTTGCAAGGAGAAGTTGCATCCTGCCTTTCACGTGTAACACACCTGCGACTTGGCCTGCCACCCTGGTTGCTCCCCTGTACATCAGGTTCGAGTGGCCATTGGTGCCATCAATATGGGACCTGAGGCGAGCCATCGCCTGGTCCATATTGTGGCTGACAACGAGCTCCAGAAGCAGCACCTCAAGTTCGCGAGCAAATGGGTGGCTGGCGAGTTTGTCAAACGAGCATTGATCTCTGAGGAGCAGAAATTGGTATCGGTGCTGCAAAGCTGTGACGGTGGACTCAAGGGTCTGCTGTATGAGGCAGTCATGCATGCTAAACTGGCGAGGGGTGGCACATTTGATGTGGTGAAGTTGCACTCAAAAGACTTTGAAGAGGGGCAAGGAGGAGGAGCTGGTTATTGAGGCGTGCATGCTCCTTCCTTGAAGGTGTTGTAGATGTCAGGGTGTACCACGAAGTAGAGGTTGAGTTTGGGGTTGTTTGCGTGGAGCAGGGATGCCCAGTCCCTTCAACACTTCTTCAAGGTCATCAGCACTGATTTTCTTGGCAGTTGATACTGTCACCTGGAAGAGGTATCACTCCAGCGTCAATGACTGGGA